CCCCAAAACCCCAAAACCCCAAAACCCCAAAACCCCAAAACCCCAAAACCCCAAAACCCCAAAAATAATAATTAATATTGAAAATGGGTCAAGGAACTTGATGACAAAAAAGAGTTAATCATACTGAACGTAATACTCTTCTCTTATATTTTTAGGTTTATTAACTAAATTTTTGTGATATATAAAAGATTCATCTTAAAATTCTTAAATTTTGACATTAATAATCTTATTAATATCTTTATTGAATAAAGAATAAATTCTTTATGTATAGATCTTCAAAAAGAAGAGAATAAAAAGTTAATGGAGCCTAAAAGAGAAAAGTAACCTATATAACAACTCTAGGTCTTTGGGCAAGGATCACCGTCAAAAATTAATCTCGAAGCCTCGAAGATTATTCATGAAATCCAAATAAACGTGAATCTCCATCTCCAGTGCAAATAAATCTAAGAAATGAGAAGTTGTATATTTGAGAAAGAAGGTAATTATTAAATTTATTGATATCTTTCATGATACTATATCCGATATGGTAGAAAATGTTATAAACTCACCTAAATTCTATAGTAAATAGCAAAGAAAAATTTGGATCTTCATGTAAACCAGCAGCCCGCCCTAACTATATATGTTTTAACGATAAATTAAAGAACGGAAAGAGGTACGGTCCATTCTAAATTTTAAGGAAAAGTAAACCCAAGCCAAAACCAAAGAGGCTCTCATGACTTGTCCACCTCTCCAGGATAGCTCCGACTTAAATGAATTGAGCACAATTGATCACTCTGGTAATTAGAACTATGATCACTTAATAGGTAATATTGTGATGCCTTAAGCCATTTATTAATCCCTATTTTCTTCAAAAAGCTGATTTACTAGAATTTTTAAATGGTCTAATCTCACTATAGAAAAATTGATGAGGAAAGAAACCAGAAATGTTATTAAAACTCATTTAAAAATACCATTGAATTATTTCTAATACAATTAATATCGAATAGAAATTTAGAAGATAGGAATCTTGACTTTTGATAAAAGTTGTAACACAAAAGAAACTCTAAAACTGGTTAAGTACAAGAAAGCATAATAAATATTAAGAGATATTGATTTTTCATAGGATTTATATGGATAATGCTATTTTCTGTCTCAGAAACTTCTTTTTAAATCCCATTATTTATTATTGGGGGTTTTCGATGTTCTCAAAGACCACGACAACAGAATAATAAGAGCAAAGGTTTCAGCCAGATTTTCGACTGTTTTAGTAGTTCTATTTAATTGTATTATTTTATACTTTCAAAAAGTATATTTAGTATGGGGTTTTGGGGTTTTGGGGTTTTGGGGTTTTGGGG